CTGGCCTCGAACTCACAGAGATCCGCCTGCCTCTGCCTCCCGAGTGCTGGGATTAAAGGCGTGCGCCACCACCGCCCGGCTGTTGTGGTTTTTCAAGACAGGATTTCGCTGTGTAGCCCTGGTTGTCCTGGAACTCGCTCTGCAGACCAGGCTGGCTTCTAACTCAGAGATCCGCCTCCCTGTCTCCTGAGTGACGGGATTAAAGGCGTGCGCCGCCACCACCCGGCTTGTTTTGTTTTTTATAGGCAGGGTTTCATTATATAGACCAGGCTGGCCTCTAACACAGAGAAATCTGCCTGCCTCTGACTCTCAAGTGCAGGTTGTAAGTGTTGGAACTCGGATGGGAAAGTATCCTGGCAGTCGAAGTCACTGTAAGCATGGCAGCTTACAGCTCTGCTCCAGGGAAAGGTCTCCCCAATGCAAGTGTTAACAACGGAAAGTATTAGAGTTCTGCTCCGCTCTGCTCCAGCCAAGTGTTACAGCTCTGCTTAGGTCCCCTGGAGTGTAACAACTCTGCTCTGCTGGGGGGGAGTTTCCCCAGCCGACAAAAATGCCACACCTCACTACAAACCTCACTCAAGAGATTTATTGGGAAGGGAAGATACAGGAAAGAGGCTGCCTCTACGGTGAGAAACCTCAACAAAACTGATCAGGATGCAGAGTTCATGTAGGGCTGGAGCGGGCGGGGCAGCGCTTTCCAGGGTGGCTTGGGATTGGTGGGGTTTTATAGCCTGATTCTGGAGCAAGCTCAGAGATTGGTGGGATTTTATGTTCGCTGATTGGTGGGGTTCTGCAGCCTGACTTTGGGGGCCAGGTCAGGGATTGGTGGGATTTCAAGCCCTGGTCCTGGGTCAAATCCGGGTCAGGGTGTTTTTCCTTGGCCCAGGTCTCCAGAGAGTCTAGTCAGGGGCATGGTGTGTTTCCCTTGGCCCTTTTCGCTCTGCACAGGTATTAGAGGTGTGTGCCACCACTGCTCAGCCCAAGTGGAGAGCTTTTGAGGAGTGAAACACGGGACTTGAGGACAGATGGTAATAGGTCCCTGATTCTGGTGGCGATGGGAGGGTAACCACAGAGAAGTGAGAAGTTGGGGGACGCGCTTGCTCAGTTGTGTCCAGCTGGGTGTGAGAGTACTGGGGGATTTACCAGGAATCTCAGAGCCCAGATGTGGAGCTGGGTCTGAGCTGGGGTGCTGAGAACAATGGGCAGCTAGAGCACAAGCGGAGAGAGAGAGCCGGCCTGCAGTGGCTACAGGACTCTGACCCCTTCATCCTGACCACAGGAGAGGGAGAGAGGCGGGGCCAGGGAAATGTTGGGACGTCTGGAGGACAGTCGAACCCCAGACTGATGTTCCTTCTACCAGGGGGCTTCCCCACACCTCCTCCACCAGGCAAAGTCCCTGGGGAAAGTGCAGAAGTGGTGTGGGGTGGTTCCTGAGGCCTGCCAAGCTTATTGCCCCTGATTTGGTTCTAGGACAATGCTCACCCACAGAAAATCCCAAAGCTACAGGTTCCTGAAGCCCCAGGGGACACCCTGCAACGTATTTTCGGGACCAGCCAGGTGTTCTACAGCATGAGTGATATGAAAGCAAGGATGACCGGGTCAACAGTGCCTGTCAAAGTCAAGGAATAGTGAGTGACTTCCTGGTCCCCAGCCTCAGGTTCCTGTTCCACACAGCCATTAAGGGGGATGCAGCCCTGAGCTGGCTGCTGTCCCTCTCTGGGCCTCAGAACACTAATGGATAAAAAGCGGAGAGCCCCAAGAAGGCCAGCCTGCCCTCCCTGGAACTCTGCTGACTTTCCCAGCCTCTTTCCCTCTGCCCCACGGTAGCCCAGAGAATGTCCTGGGCTGGTCCAAGATCAAGGCCAGCTCTGCTGCCTTAACTCTCCTGTCCTCGCAGCTATCACCAAGGCCATGTGTGCCTAGAACAAGAGGACTGGGAGATGGCTGTCCTCTTCTTCTCCCGTGCCCTCCACCTGGACCCCCAGCTGGTAAGAGGAGAGTGGGTCAGAAGGCCACTGGAAGCTCCTCCCACACTGGCGCACCTGCTAGGCTCCTCCTCCCAGGACCACCAAGTTCTTCTAAGGCTTGAGGAGCCAGACACTCCCTCTCCTTGCCCTGAGGGGCGGATGGTGGAGAAGACACAGCAGCCTGGGTCTCTTTCCTTCAGGTAGACTTCTATGTTTTTCGTGCGGAGGCCTTCATCCAACTCTGTGACTTCTCCTCTGCCCTCCAGAACCTGCGCAGGGCCTACTCCTACCAACCAGATAATACCAAGTACCTGGAGCGGCTGGCATTCGTGCTCTACCTACAGGTGCCTGGGCTGCTCCCACCCGAGGAGTGCACACCCTATGCCAGCCGCAGGCTGTCTGGAGCCCTTCTGGAGTCCGATCTGAGTGCTTGGGGACTCCTCTCCTCGTGTCTGTGCCCCCCCACCTGCTGCCCCCTCACAGACTTACTAGTTTAGACAGCTAGGGGCATCTAAATAGAACTTTGCAGCAAGGACAGGAGCCGCTCTCCACCGCCAGTAGGTTTGCCACCAGCCGCATGGAAATGCTGAGCTGTCAAAAGGGGGCAAGTGTAACAACTAATTTGAAATCCGATTTGTTATACCGGCTGGGGTGTGGCTCAGAGGCAGGATGCCCGCCTCACCTACAGGGGGCCCTGGGTACTGTGCCTAGTACTAAGTGAAAGGTTCATCGCTTAAAATTAACCTTAAAAAAATACATTTATTTTTACATTTATTTATTCATGCCGTAGTCAGTCGTGGGTCCTGGGCGTCACACTCAGATCATCAGGCTTGGTGACAATGCACCTTTACCCACTGAGTCACCTCGCTACCCTCAATGTCCACTTTTGTTCTTTGGGGGTTTGGGGCTTTGTTTGTTTGTTTTTTGTTGTTGTTTGTGTTTGTTTTTGTTTTTGAGACAGGGTTTCTCTGTGTAGCTCTGGCTGTCCTGGATCTCTCTCTGTAGACCAGGCTCGCCCTGAACTCACAGAGATCCACCTGCCTCAGCCTCCCAAGTACTAGGATTAAAGGCGTGCACCACTATCACCAAGCAATGTCTATTTTTGTTGTTTTGAAGGCCAAATATTGATTGGGTAGAAGCTGAGCTGGGGTGCAGCAGTGGTGGGGCATTTGCCTAGCGTAACCGGGGCCTGAGTTAGAGCCGCAGTAGCACAGAACACCAAACCGTTCAGTTCTTCCAGGGAAGCTCCGGGGGCCAGCACGATGCTCAGCAGACACGGGTGCTTGCCTCTAAACCTGACAGCCCGAGTTTGCTAGCTGAGCCCTGCCTGCTGGAAAGAGCTGACTCCTGCAGGTTACCTAGGACTTGCGCGTATGTGCGCCCCAGGTGCCTGCCCGCACGCATACACAGCATAAATCAGTGCACTAGCAAAGAAACCCTGGGCCAGACGTGGTGACTCAGGTTTACAGTCCCAGCACTCCAGACACAGGCAGGAAGAGTCCTGAGTTCAAGGTCTGCCTGGGTTACATAGTTCCAGGCCAGTGTGGGCTACAGTGTGAATCCCTATCTAACCAAACAATCATACCTGAGAAGGAGAAGGGGGACCCCTCGAGGCACTCAGATAACTGTGTCCTGCCCCCCACTTCCTGTGTGACCCCGGGAAACTCACTTCACCTCTCTGAGCCTCTTTCCTTCATCTGAAAGGGGGTGCTTGTGAGTGCCAGACTTTTGGCCGGAGGCCTAGCATGCTCACTCACTGCCCCACTCAGTCTGTCTCTTAGCTGTGTGCTACTGCGATCCTCTTGCTTCTTGGTATCTCTGCCAAGTTCTGCATCTCTCTCATCTCGGTCTCCTGAAGTCTCTGTCCAGGTTTCTCTCCCTGTCCTCCGCCAACTGTGGAGCTCATTGGAGCTGGAGTTATAAGCAGAACTGACGGTCCCTGTCTCCTCAGGGCCAGTGCCTGTATGAGCTGTGTGACTTCCAGGAAGCCCTGTATGTCTTCCTGCAGGCCTCTGACCTCCAGCCCCAGAACCCGTCTTTCAGCTACCGATGGTGAGTGCGCAGCGCCTCCCCCTCCCGGCAGCCTGCCTCCCACTGCCCAGGCTGAGCACGCTGCCCTCTGCCCCCAGCATAGCCTGCCTGCTGGCCCTCAAGCGGCACCAGGACTGCCTGTCACTCATCACCAGGGAGGTGAAGCAGGGCAGGGCCAGTGCTGATGTCTACATTCTCCGGGCCCGGATCTACAACTTCTTCCAGAAGGTAGTGAACAGCGGGCAGGGCAGGTGTGGTGGGCGGAGCCTCCAGTGTGCCCCGAGATTATAGAGGGGCAGGGCCAGCTGGAAGACTTACCCCGTCAGTCCACAGAGAGCCCGAGG